AGATGACGCCTGGTTATTTGCCACCTTTTTATGATCCTCTGAGGTTTGTTTTAATTACTTTTAGGCTGGTTTCCACAGTATCTCTTGTTGTAAAGGTAAAGGTCTCCCTTGCTCGACAGCCAGTCGAGTCCGACTCTAGGGTTGCGGTGTTCATCTCCGTTTCAAAGCCGAAGAGCCAGCGCTGTCCGAAGACGTTCCCGTGGTCATGTGGCCGGCATGACTAAACACCAAGGCGCACGGAACGCTGTGACCTTCCCACCTGAAGTGGTACCTATTTATCTACTTGCAATTTCTTGCTTTCGAACTGCTAGGTTGGCAGGAGCTGGAACGAGAGACGGGAGCTCACTCCGTCATGCGGCACACTCGGGTCTCGAACTGCTGAACTACCGACCTTCCACAGCCTGCAGTTCGGCGTCTTAACCACTTGAGCTGCCGCGGCTCCTTTAACTTGCTGTAGCTCATGGTTGATGTTTCTGACTTTCCCCCCCTCCGCACTGTATATTTTCACAATCAAGAAAATCTATATATATTTTAAATGACTAGTATAATGGAGAAGGCAGTGAGAATTCTGGACCATCAGCTTCACAGCTGAAATAGAAGATCAGGACAGGTATTTGGGGGCAGCTTGTGCCAGGCTGTACCACTACAGGCAAGTGGGGCTTTGGCACAGCCGCATCGGGGGGGCAGAGGTGTCAAACTCATTTGTTACGGGGGCCGAATGTTGACATGCTTGTCACTTTGTCAGGCTGCGCCACATGCGCCATAAAACATAATGCCGGAAACAAGGTCAACAGAATAAGAAGCAAAAGGTGGGTGTGGCTGGATGACCACACTTCTGGTAACATGGGGGTGCGGCCTAATATGCTAATGAGATGTGGTGTCAGGGGTGTGGCCTAATATGCTAATGAGTTTATGCGGTTGGGTGTGGGCTATTATGCTAATGAGTTCCTGCTGGGCTTTTTCTACAAAAAAAGCCCTGATAAAATATATATTTTTAAAATGACTAGTGGCTAGTGTAATGGAGAAGGCAGTGAGAACTCTGGACCATCAACGTCACGGCTGAAATGGAAGATCAGGACAGGTATTTGGGGGCAGCTTGTGCCAGGCTGTACCACTACAGGCAAGTGGGGCTTTGGCACAGCCGCATCGGGGGGGCAGAGGTGTCAAACTCATTTGTTACGGGGGCCGAATGTTGACATGCTTGTCACTTTGTCAGGCTGCGCCACATGCGCCATAAAACATAATGCCGGGTTATCAGAGATATAAACTGCATGAAGGACAGCAGCTGGTAAGCTCTGAGTTGGGGTGTCCTCACTGCAAGGCCCCATGGGCTGGGAGGGGGGTGCAGAGGGAAACCCACATGGGCAGACTGGAGAGCCAGCGGTGCAGCGCTGGGCAGACGCTCCCATGCCCCAACAGAGGATTGTCTGCACCCACCCATGTGCAAACACTGATCCCTGTGGCCATCTGGGACAGCATCCCCAGAGCTGCAGGCCGAGTGGAGGGGTACGAATGCAGCTGCAGTGGCTCCCAACTGATCAGTGAGGCTGTCCGTGAAGTGAAGGGGTCCTGCTTAACCGCAGCAGACAAGGTTGTTCTGCTGTGCTGAAGCCATAATTGGGAGTGGCTCTGCCCACGAACCACCGAGCAGCCTCCTGTTCCCCTCCCTTGCACCAGTTGCTCGCAGGCCGCATAACAGCCCTGGACGGGCCGGTTCTGGCCCCCGGGCCTCATGTTTGACACCCCGATCTAGGGCGTTTTGCACCATGCTTCAGGCAGTGCCACAACCATGCACAGTAGTCAACTGCAGCATTTCATACCAGAAAACCAGACAACGGTATCCATGTTCTCCCATATGAAAACTCCCCTGCCATAATAATAAAGCGGTGGCACAGTGGGTATATATCCCACTGTCTTAACATCTGAACTGTGTTAGTTCGAGCCCCGCGCTGGTGTGAGCAGCCAACCTGTTGTCCCCAGCTCATCGTCCACCCAGCGATTCGAAAGCTTCGGCGAGTAGATAAAATGGGAACCACTCCTTAGAGAGGGTGGGCACACCAATCTCCCTTGTGGGAGGGTGTTAGCTGACGGTTGGGACGTCCTGGTCGAGGTTCGGAAAAGGCGGAAGAACGTCTCGGCTACAAAAATCCCTGCAGTGGATGTTTCCGGCCAGGCGGTGGCAGTGTGGCGATTTGACATACGGGTCCTGAAGCCTGGTCGACAAGCAGCCGTTCGGAAAATGACTGAGCCAAGCCAGAAGACGTTTACACCGTGCACTGACGGCGTGTGCAATTAAATGAATATATGTTGTCTTCCCTATCCCCTATGAACATTGTTAGTCCCCTGTCTAAAATGTGTAACTGTACATCGCTTTGAGCCCACTAGGGAAAGCGATTAATAAATTGAAAGTATTATGATGATGATGATGATGATGATGATGATGATGATGAACAACAAGGGTTCGACCTTAGTCTAACAGGTTTGCATCCCACGTGCGAAGAGTCTGCTGTGGTAGCATTCAGGCACACTGCTCTGTAGGGCAGCGCAACCCGGTGAGATCTGGACACTTTACGCGACGCATTTGTGTATATCAGCTGATAGCCATGTACATTTAAGGTTCAAGAAGAAGTCAAAGAGCTGGGAATCTGAAAATAGGTACAGCAACGAGGTCCAACAGTTCCTGTGAAGTTTGATCTCCCTTGAAACCTACAACAACAACAAAAGATCCTGTTCCATTACACCCTGACAGAGCCCATTAACATAGGGGTGTCAAACATGCGGCCCGGGGGCCACATCAGGCCCCCGGAGGGCTTCTGTCAGGCCCGCAGTGGAACTGGCTGTCTTCTGCTTCTTCTTCCAGTTCTGCTGCTGCTGCGTCATCGTAGGTTTGCAGCTTACAGATACACACCTGAACAGCATACTGAAGATTGCAACAGCACAGACATTTTGATGCAATAATTCAGAGCGAGAGGTGTCCATTATCAGACACTGGTAAATAAATAAAATATTGCAAGAGTGCTAATGTTTTGTTGTAAGCCACCCTGAGCCGCTTCGGCGGGAGGGCAGGATAGAAACCCAATGAATGAATAAATAAATAAATATTGTAAGCATGTTTTTATTTTAAGTTAAAAAAACCCTTTGTGTTTGTGTCCTTTATAAAGTTTATATCTCTGCTACCTGGCATTACATTTTATGACACATGTGGCCCCGCCCGACAAGGTCTCATTTCTGTCAGATCTGGCCCTCATCACAAATGAGTTCGACACCCCTGCATTAATATAAGGGAACAACTCTGGGTAAAGCGGGCAGAGATGGCAATCCCAGAACTACCTGCTCGCACATAAGCCATTTCTGAGTAAGCATGTGCGCTGGGGCTGTAAATCGCCGACTGTGACTAACGACAGGCTGAATATCTGAATGAGCAAGGCTGAAACATGCTCGAGCTTTTGTTTCGTGTGTGTGTGTGGGGGGGGGAACGGTGACATTTGCTCAGGTCAGCATTATGAAGGTCTGCACTGAAATCCCACAAAACAGCACAGAGCGAGTCCCAGGGACCAAACGCAACACAGGTATCAAGGCAAACGTTAACATTTATTCTCTTAAATATAAAAAATAAATCAGTCGTTTCCATCTAAAATATATACCTTTAAAATAAAAAAAAAGTCAGATATCCCCTCCCTTCTTCTCATTAGCTCTCCGACAGCTTGGCCACGGCCTGCTTCCTCTGCTCCGCCGTCATGTGCTCACAGGCTTCTAAGATATTTGCCACAATCAGAGTCTGTTGAATTGTTTTGGCTTTCACCCATATCCTTCCGTTCATTCCCAACACCAACTCGAACGGGTAAAGTTGTCCCAAATCCTGGATGATTTCACAGCCGGGAGCTAGAAGTCTGAAACCAAAAGTAAGAGGAAGGACGATTAACAAGCAGGAAAGTCAACGTACGGCTTTAAAGATCTCTACTGTTTTTTTTCCTTCATGAAAGAACTAAACTTATACAGTGGGCAGTGTTCCCTCGAAGCTGAGTTTGTGTGAGCTAGCTCACAGTTTCTTAGCCTCTGGCTCACACATTTTTGTCTTCGCTCAGGAAGGACGGCTCCAGTATGCAATAGCCAAATCGCTCGCTTACAACTTTAATGCCAGTGGGTCACCAAGTAGAATTTTGGCTCACAAGACTCCACAGCTTAGAAGGAGCATAGACAGCGGAGTTCCCAACAGCCTGTGGGCACCATGGCGCCCAGGAACGCTTTTTCCTGGTGCCCGCCAAGTGTTTTTAAAAACTGGGTGGGACCAGTTGGAGCTTTTGCCCAGCAAAGCTTCTGATTGGCTGTGCAGATTTTTGAAAACATGACTTTTGGCAGCAGCTGCCACCACAGCACAAGGATCTTCACTGCGGTGGCAGCCATTTTGTGACTGGCCCCGCCTTCTGTGGCAGCCATTTTGTGGCTGCATCCACCACACCGTGTCAAAATTCCAAAGGTGCCCGCCGGCTTCCGAAGGTTTCAGACCCCGGCTTCAGTAAATAACTAAGCGTTTACAGAATGTTTAGTAGGTTTTTTTTTTTTTACTATATTGTTTTCAAAGTGAATGGCGCAGTAAAAAAAAACCCCTTAGGGCACCCCTGCAATAGGGAATTGTGAAGAAGAGGAAGAGGAAGAGGAGGAGGAGGAGGAGGAGGAGGAGATTGGATTTATACCCCGCCCTTCACTACCCAAAGGTGTCTCAGAGTGGCTTACAAACTCCTTCCCCTTCCCCTCCCCACAACAGACACCCTGTGAGGTGGGTGGGGCTGAGAGAACTCTGACACAAACTGCTCTTTTTCAAGGACAGCTGTGCCAGAGCTTGTGACTGACCCAAGGTCACATCAGCAGGTGCAAGTGGAGGAGTGGGGAATCAAACCCGGTTCTCCCAGATTAGAGTCCGCGCACTTAACCAGTACACCATGTATGTCCTGCTCCTGGATTATGTCACATATGGGGGAAAGGGCGGAAGGTGCATAAAGTTACATAATTAATCGTGCCTCCCTTTTTAAAAAAATGACCTACAGAGACAAGGCAGAGGAAAGAAGAATTCCTGCCTGCTCACTCTACCGCACTTACTTTCTTATTAAGCCTAAGGAAACCTTAATCAAGAAGCCATCTTGTCCAATGATGCCCATTCCGTTCGCTCTGCCACTGCTGTCTATACAGACCATCTCGGGTTCCATGTCTTTGTTGGCAACGATGAACTGGCCGTAAATAAGGTCTCCCACCTACAGAAAGAAGAGAAGACCAAGACGCCACCAGGTACATAGGAGCAGGGGTCATTTCGTAGAAAAAGAGGTGCAGGAGCTCATTAGCATAACACATTAGCATAACTTATTTGCATATGCCACACCCCCTGACCTCACCGGAAGTGTGTCAGATGGCAACACCCACCGCTCAAGTTCCACTGGACTGTTTTGGATTGATAGCTATGGGGGGGGGGGGCTCTGCAACTTACCTGGCTGCTTCTTGCTCCTCATGGCCTGACTGAGGGCTGCTGGGAGCAGAAGGCGGGGCTTGTTGCATGCGCCTGCCCCCTGAGCTCCTTACTGCCGGAGCTCCGCTCCTGTGTGTTCCTGCACGAAATGACCTCTGCATAGGAGAGTCTGGCGGCAGGCATGTTGTGCTTCGTGAGACCAAGAGTTTTAAGAAACAAAGCCGTTTGCTTGTATGCTGTTTGACGGGTCTTTGACCGTAATAAACTGATTGATTGATTGAAAGCCGTTTGCTCTGCCACAGCACTGACTCGCCTTCCATCCCATTTTTGTCAATGGACCGGACGCCCTGGGTCAGGAATCAGAGGAACCGGAGTGGACCAACCAAGGATAGGGCTGTGCCCAACTCACTCCCACGCAAGCCAAGAAGCAGGAAAAAATATTTGAAGCGCTGCCTCCTCTTCCCCAGAGCGAACGACAGCAGAGCCCGAACTGTCTTATACGCCTCGGCTCCTTTCTTCTTGTGCTTTGCCCCGAGGGAGAGGGTTACAAAAGGATCTCTGCTGATCCCGTGAAAACGCTTCCAAAGCACCTGCTGCTCTTCAAGAGGGGGTTAACGGGTCCTCGCCTGGCTTTGGTTTGCAAAGGAAAACACAGCTGAAATGCAAATCTCAGAGGGCGGTATGAGGTGGGCAGAGAGGTAGGAAGTCCCAGAATATCAAGTGACCTTTCCCAGAGGGCAGCTGATTCGGTATGCAGGAGAACAGCTAGACTCAAGCTTATAAGCAAAAAAAATCAGTCTCTCAGGTGCCACTGGACTCAAATCTGGGTTTTTCCCCCCCAGTTGTGAATATTTAACTCCCTCAGGCTCACATTCTTTTTGCAGCCTGTATAGAGCGAAAGTTTTTGCTTGGTTGGTTTAGCCCCCCCCCCCCCCCATTTTCTTTGGTGCAGAGTGAAGATATGACAGAAGGAAAACAACGCACCATGAAATTGTATATCATTCATGGCAGTCTAACTCAAGAGACTACTTTCAAGAATAACGTTCACACCTTCTCTGTCAACCACATTCGGCACTTAAAGTGTACCTATTTCCTGTTCGGGGGCGGGGGGGAATGTTCCCTCTAAGCTGTGGAGTCTAGTGAGCAAAAATTCTACTTTGTGAGCTACTGGCATTAAAGTTGTGAGCAAGCAATTTGGCTGCTGCATAAATTAGTTTGCTCTGGAGCCCTCCTCCCTGAGCTAAGACAAAAATGTGTGAGCTGGAAGCTAAAGAACTGTGAGCTAGCTCACACTAACTCAGCTTAGAGGGAACACTGGGTGGGGGAGAGACATCCATATTTCCCTTCGGGGAAGCCAGTATAAGTTGTTAGTGTGCATACAAACTTTTTTTCCCATACACCCCCATAAGTGCATACCCAAATACTGCTGAATTATTTTGAGCAGCAGCCAATTCTGTATATCCAGGAAAACCAGACAGATTTTAAAATTAAACATTCCAATCGATGCTCATATTTTAAAAAGGGAAACTGTTCCAGTTTGTTAGTAACATACTGTGGCGTACTTGCTACTTGGGGAGACTGTTTTTCCTTTAAACCACCCTCTGTGTATATAAACCTGGTAGTTTTCTGCTGCCACCAGAAATTAAAAATTCCAATTCTCTCTCTTTGGTAGTACGACCCAGAATACAGGAGAAAACAGGATGTTTAATAGCATATGGAAGGGAGAACAGGCACTAAAGCCAATGAGTAAGGCTATAGGTGTTACGCAAAAATGTCCCCGAGTACTAGATAGCAGTGTTCCCTCTAAGCTGAGTTAGTTTTTTAGCTTCCAGCTCACACATTTTTGTCTTAGCTCAGGAAGGATGGCTCCAGGGCAAGCTAATTTATGCAGTAGCCAAATCACTTGCTCAGAACTCTAATGCCAGTAGCCCACAAAGTAGAATTTTTGCTCACAGGACACCACAGCTTAGAGGGAACATTGCTAGATAGTATGCCACGTATAGCTAGATCTTAAAAGTTTTAAGAACAAGAAATACCTCTTGCAAACAGTCATTCAAATTTCCTTTGAGAGGGGAACAAAAATACACGGAGTTGCATTCCTGATAGAATTTGCAAAACTGATACAAGCAAGGGATGTATGGGATACAAACACTGCTATGTGGGGAAGGCAGGATATTAGTCAAAATAAATAAATAAGGAAAGAAGAGAACAGAAGAGATTGGATTTATACCCCATGGCCCTTCACTACCCAAAGGTGTCTCAGAGCGGCTTACAAACTCCTTTCCCTCCCCCTCCCCACAACAGACACCCTGTGAGGTGGGTGGGGCTGAGAGAGCTCTGACAGAAACTGCTCTTTTTCAAGGACAGCTGTGCCAGAGCTTGTGACTGACCCACGGTCACACCAGCAGGTGCAAGTGGAGGAGTGGGAAATCAAACCCGGATCTCCCAGATTAGAGTCCGCACACTTAACCACTACACCAAACTGGCTCTCCAGTATTTTAAAACGCTGAACTATTGGGCTTAGAGGCCTTAGAGCTTTCCCTTTCCCATCTCATCCCAGCAAAGCTAGGAGAAAGCCAGTCACCCAACACAAAGTATAGTTTTAAGAAGATGCCTGCCAAACAGGCAAAATAATCAATAGGTTCCATCCCTGGCAGGGACAATGCATTCTTATCCCACGCACCTCTCAAATTACAAAGCCTCGTGTCAAAAACCGACGGAGGAACTGAGAAAGAAGCAAAGGCATTCGAACTCTGCTCAAGGTGTAGGCGATGTCTTTAGACACGTTCGCAGACGGACATTCTCGCAAAAACCTTGGGGCTATGCCAAAGAGGTACTAACATTGCCCAATATTACTGCTATGAACAGTGAACGTGGACTTGAAGGCGATCCCTGCTGTCAGTCATTTTTTAGTCCTCACCTGAACATTCGGCCGGTTTCTCTTGGTTGCGCCTTCAAAGGCTAAGTAGGACAGAGAAGCTTGCTCACTCCCGCCAACGTCCAGTTTAAATATGTCCCCGGCTTTCGCAGTCACTATGCCGATCACGTGGTCTCCCTTGACCGGGACGTACTAGGAATGAAAAGAATTGGGAGATTAAACAGTCGCTTCACGTCCACACACCTTTCTCTTGCGACAAACACCGACAATGCACAGTAGTCTCCTAAAACGTAACCCACCATCACAAACCCCAGGGAACGATGCTTCACTCTTTTTGAGATGGTGCAGTGGTTAAAGCGTTGGACTAGGATCTGGGAAACCCAGGTTCGAATCCTCACACCACCACAGAAGCTCACTGGGCGTCCTTGAGCCAGTCACGCCCTTTCAGCCTAACCTAATTTACAGGGTTCTTGTGAGAATGAAATTGAGGAGGAGGAGGATGACGGAGGCCGCGTTGAGTCCCAACTGTGGAGAACAGTGTTGTGAGGATAAAATTGAGGAGAGGAAGATGACGGAAGTCACGCTGAGTCCCAACTGCGGAGAACCGTGGGATCAGGGACCCACATACCCGAGGGACCGCCTTTCCCCACATGTACCCCAGAGAACACTGCGATGAAGGGCCCAGAATTGGCTGGTCCTCCCGAGTCTCAAGGAGGCCGGGCTAGTAACAACCAGGGCCAGGGCCTTCTCAGTGGTGGCTCCACTCTGGTGGAATGAGCTCCCAGAAGAGATCAGGGCCCTGCGGGACCCTTTTGCAGTTCTACAGGGCCTGTAAAATGGAGCTCTTCCGTCAGGCTTTTGGAGCTGCTACCACCACCAATAACTGACAGCTTGAGACAGAAGAGCCCTGCCCCCCACCCCCCCGGGATTTCTAACTACAGCCTTAGCCAGCCACCTAAAACGACCTAAGACCAAAGAGCTGACTGCGAAGACAGAGAACTGTGTAACAACTACGTGATCGTGGCCATCGGCACAGCACCTCGGAACAAAAATGCTTACTGCTCAGCAACTGCATAAACATGAATGCCATTAAGGTAAAGGTAAAGGTTCCCTTGCTCGAAAGCCAGTCGAATCCGACTCTAGGGTGTGCGGCGCTCATCTCCGTTTCAAAGCCGAAGAGCCAGCGCTGTCCGAAGACGTTTCCGTGGTCATGTGGCCGGCATGACTAAACACCACGGCGCACGGAACGCTGTTACCTTCCCACCGAAGTGGTACCTATTTATCTACTTGGAATTTCTTGCTTTCGAACTGCTAGCAAGAAATTTATAGCATTACAGATGCACTAACAATTAATAACAACTAAGTGCTGCCAAGTTACAACTGACTTATGGGGCTCCCTGAAGTTCCACCCAATGGGGTTCTTCAAGGCAGGAGATGAGCAGAGTTGGTTCGCCGTAGCCTTCCTGTCGCATACAGATGCATGGATACAGATGCAATAAGCGCTCCCTGCTTCTTAGTAGATGTAAAGGGGGAATATGTTAAAATGCTTTATTTCCATAAAAGCGGTCAGTACAATTGTTAGTTAAGTAAAGGCTGAAAGAACCAAGACAGCAACATCCAGTTGGGGAACTCTTATCTAAAAACATCAGAAGCTCAAGAAAAATATACAAGGTTTTCCTGACTCTTTCCATTTCTAGTAGTGGAAGGGAAACAGTGCAACCCAAAAAACTAATGCGAGAGAGACAGACAAAGGTTTATCACACTAACGTTTCATGTGAAAATAAGAGTCTGAAGTTTTCTTACACACAAGCATCATACAATGCAAGAAAATGGCATCATCCAGCCTGTGTGAATCAGTGTGTAACAGCTGGATTGTGTCCTCAGTTCTTGCATCTAGGATACGGCAGCACCATAACCTGTCACTGATCACAATGGGTGATGATGCAAGTACTTAACCACAAAATACCACGCATAATCCTGTAACCTTTGAGTTGTCAAAACCCTGAATCCCTTTAAGTCCAATGCCAACAGCAATGCTATAAAAGATTATTTTACATGCCTTTTCTGGTTTGGAATGCCACAGGGGGAAAAAAGCAACAAGTTTTATATACTTCCAGGACAGGGAACTAAATTAGAGTTGGAAACAGGGATCAAATGAGGCAGGCCTATGGTTGTGATCCCAAAATACAGGTAAGTCATTTGCCATTTGGGGTTGCTTAATAGAATTCACATTAGAAAGAAGGGGGGTCTCCATAACGTTTCTAGGCCCTCAAAGGTCTCCCCACCTCTAAGAAGCACACCTCTTCTCTTATTCTTTTCCCCTACTGATGAATTAAATGAGAAACATGTGAAACTGTATCACTAAAATTCATGGTGTCTACATACTATAGCAGTGTTTCCCAACCTGTGGGTCGGGACCAAGGCTCCCTCTAAGCTGTGGAGTCCTGTGAGCAAAAATTCTACTTGGTGAGCTCCTGGCATTAAAGTTGTGAGCGAGCGATTTGGCTGCTGCATGAATTAGTTTGCTCTGGAGCCCTCCCTTCCTGAGCTAAGACAAAAATCTGTGAGCCGGAGGCTTAAAAAACTGTGAGCTAGCTCACACTAACTCAGCTTAGAGGGAACACTGGTCGGGACCCAAAAGTGGGTCACGGGTCAGCCTTCCCTAATGGCCGCTCCCGCCCTTTCCACCACTCTCTTTTGCATTTTGGAAACCAAGATCTGACCCTGGAAACAGTATCTTCCATGTCACGAGCCAGTTGACATTTTTTTTCTTCGCTGCATGTACACGCTGAACTACAGTGAACTTCCTAGAATTGGGGGCCGGGGGGTTTAGAGAGAGAGTAACCGAGAAGGAGATGGTCAAGAGGTTGGAATCTAACCTCAATTCTCAAAGGCTGTGCACACTGCAGTGCCACTCGCTTGAGGTTCATAACAGAGGCAGCTGCACCCTTTGTGCCATGGTTGTTGGTTTCTCAGAAACACCTGGCGAGCCACCCTAGGAAACAGAATGCTGAACTAGATGGGTGCCCAGGTCATCATCTGTCCAGGGCATCAAAAACCCTTGGGCCAGCCTTGGATGGGTCACCACACCAAGTCAATTTGGACTTGTAGCTCATCATACCGAAAAGGCTGGGAACCAAGTGCACTATAAAAGCTGTTCTAGCTGTAACTATTAAGAACATAAGGACATAAGAGAAACCAATGTTGGATCAGGCCAATGGCCCATCCAGTCCAACACTCTGTGCCACACAGTGGCCAAAAAATACCAGGGGCCATCAGGAGGTCCAGCAGTGGGGCCAGGACACTAGAAGCCCTCCCACTGTTGCCCTCCCCAGCACCAAGAATACAACTTGCCGCAGACCTAGAGTTCCTACCTATACCTTGGGGCTAATAGCTACTGATGGAGCTCTGCTTCACATAAGAACATAAGAGAAGCCAATGTTGGATCAGGCCAATGGCCCATCCAGTCCAACACTCTGTGTCACACAGTGGCCAAAAAATACCAGGTACCATCAGGAGGTCCAGCAGCGGGGCCAGGACACTAGAAGCCCTCCCACTGTTGCCCACCCCAGCACCAAAAATACAGAGCATCACTTGCCCCAGACCTAGAGTTCCTATCTATACCTTGGGGCTAATAGCTACTGATGGACCTCTGCTCCATATAAGAACATAAGAGAAGGCAATGTTGGATCAGGCCAATGGCCCATCCAGTCCAACACTCTGTGTCACACAGTGGCCAAAAAATACCAGGTACCATCAGGAGGTCCAGCAGCGGGGCCAGGACACTAGAAGCCCTCCCACTGTTGCCCACCCCAGCACCAAAAATACAGAGCATCACTTGCCCCAGACCTAGAGATACAGAGCATCCCTTGCCCCAGACCGAGAGTTCCTATCTATGCCTTGTGACTCATAGCTACTGATGGACCTCTGCTCCATATGTTTACCTGATTCCCTCTTGAAGCTGTCCATGCTTTCTTACACAAGCTTTCAGGAACCTTAAAAATTGCAACGGTGCAAGGAAACGGTTGTCTCTAACATCTCTCTAAAGGTATTCATTACCGTTACTTAGATTTAGTATTTATTTATTAAATTTATAACCCACCCTATCCCACACGTGGGCTCAGGGCGGTTTGCAACATAAGATTCCTAAAACAATAAAAGCGATAAAACCAATAAAACAACAGAGGGCACAATAAGCAGTAACAGAAAAGACCCCTGCCTCATGTCCGGTGAATGAAAAGCTCCAGTACCCAAGTAATGTTGTCTAAAACCGCAGGACACTGAGAAGGGGGAGGGCGGTCGGGTTAGAACGGATAAAAGGAAGTCCTCCTTCACCCAAAGAGTGATTAACACATGGAATTCACTGCAACAGGAAGTGGCGGCGGCCACAAGCATGGACGGCTTCAAAAGGGAATTAGATAAGCATATGGAGCAGAGGTCCATCAGTGGCTATTAGCCACAAGGTATAGATAGGGGCTCTGGGGTAAGTGATGCTCTGTCTTCTTGGTGCTTGGGGGGGCAACAGTGGGAGGGGCATCTCGTGTCCTGGCCCCACTGCTGGACCTCCTGATGGCACCTGGTATTT